CGACAGCAATTTGTCTGTTCCCCTTCCCCCAATTCCCCAGCACTGTTCCCATCCCCCCAATTCCCCAGTAAAAATCTTAAAAAAAAAAACATGTGTGATTCATGGGAAGAGGTCAAAATATCAACATTAACAGGAGTTTGGAAGAATTTGAACCCAATCCTCATGGATGATTTTGAGGGGTTCAAGACTTCAGTGGAGGAAGTAACTGCAGAAGAGGATGATTTTGAGACTATCAAAGCACAAAGGAAGGACATGATTGATTATTAACTTTTGCAAGAACAAGGCCAGGAGAGGTAGTAATCACTCTTGACTTAAGCATTCATGTAGACGCTCCCATTGTCTCATGATTTTCCACCTTCCTTGCATTTTGCTTCCCTTATTGAGGGTACCTGACAGAACATATGGATACTTGAGACTGAGAAGCAAAAGCTTCCAAGTTCTAATGATCTCTTCACCAGTGACAAGGCTGCCATGCTTTTCAGGAGGAGGCTACATGCGTTAAATCCTCATCCTGATGAAATTAATTTGAAACATTTTAACTTTGGATTTGAGATTCCTAACTGCTGACTTTTATCATTTTCGCAGGCAGCACTCAGCATATTTGGCATGGTCGGTGGGCCACTTCTGGGCTTGTTTTCCTTGGGCATTTTGGTTCCTTTTGCCAACTCAACTGTAAGTACAAAGAATGAATGTTTAAGGCTTTCTTTCTCAAGTACAGTAGCAGCTCTACCATTTTTTTCTCAATTGTAAAGATGTAGTTCCTATGATATATTTGTCATTAGTGACTTGTCTCAGTGACTTAGATTATTCATACCGACTTGGCAGGGGTGTACAATGAAGTACTATGCACTGGGACCCTGCACGTGTGACGCTACATGGAAACTGCTGGAACATAGAGTGCAATTTCAAATATTCATAATGTAACTAACGGGCAACATTTCTTGTGCATTTATCTTTTTGCCTTGCTTGAAAATTAATCATTACCACTTAAAGAAGGAGATTGCCAGGCTCATATATGAGAGATTTAAGGGCAGTAGAACTGAAAATACCTGTGAATATTCAGAGTATGACTAAGAGAAGCAATAAGATCTCACCACTTTGGTCAGAAAGTTTCTACTCCTCGTATTTAAACCTATATCTCCACCAACGTGGTTCTAGCCCTAAAGGGGAGATCATAATTGGGAATAGTATCCAAAAGAGGGCATATCTCTGTTCTTCTACAAAGATATGTCTGTGCTTCATAGAACTACATTTTGTTTGGAATAAATGACATTGAAATTATTTCTCTAAGTCAGAAGAAAGTCCACTGGTTCAGTCCTGCTATAAGATGAAGTTTAGGGAAAACTGCTCATGTATATGCTTGTTTCAGACAGATGTAGAATAACCATAGAAGTATGACTTTATATTTAGAATTCCATTTTCCTCATAATGCATTAGGAATTAGTAAGGCAGATACTAATACAGGCTTTATGTTATTATTATTATTATTATTATTATTATTATTAATCATAGTTCTCAATGAAGTATCATAGAAAAGCTAGTTTGGTAGAAATTAATTATAATGAAAGAGTGGTTTGTATCTCCCTCAGAACGTTAAAGCTTTGATTAGACGTTTTGTATTATGAAATGCATAGTGATTTATTGAGTGCATGAACAATTTTCAAAAGACTGACTTTTAGTTTTTGATATTTATTTCCGTCATGAGTTGTCACCACCTAGGTGACTAGGTCCAACATGCCCTTTTCCAGGGAAGTAAGATACTATTATTTTTATACAAGGGGGAAGTATCTCTTTTTACTATAACCACATTTTTTCACTAGAGGAATATCTACCCTTACCTTGGAATGGACTTCCTCCTTTTCTCACTCTCTCCTTCCCTCTTTCCCTCCCTCTCTCTCTCTTTATTTCTCTCCTTCCATCCTTTCCTTCCTTTGCTTTTTATCCACCCCACTTTCCTCCTTCCTTCCCTCCCTCTCATTCAATCAATCATTCATTTGTTCAGTGAATATTTATGGGCCTAGAGCTATCCTGGGAGTAGAGAGCACTGAATATTTCTTCCCTCATGGGCTTTATAATGTTATGAACCTTTGACCAAGTCATGTACAGTACTAAGAGGAAGCAAATCCGGCCTGTCAACAGCTGGCCACCCTCTTATTCTAACCTCATAGTATTCAAAAGTATTTATTGTGTGCTTACAATATGCCCAGCACTAATGGTAAGTGTGGGGGCATCAAAAATAAAGAAACCTCATTCTGCTCTCAGGGGTTCACAGCTTAAGGAAAGAGCTCACAGTCTTTGTTCCCAATATAAATCTTCTCATCTGGTCAGCAGCCTTCTCATCTTCCACCAACACACTGTTTATTTGTTTGTTTTTTCTACCCCACGATTTTGCTTATGTTTCCCGCTTACTGCAGATATTCACCCCGTCCTCTCTATGTGGAGCCCAAGGCACAGGCTGCCCTATCTGATCACTGTTCTTAGAGAAAGGGGGGGAATTCCACCACAGAGGAAGGGGTTTCCCAGCTCCTTCTTTTGTGTTTTGGTTTGCTTTTGTCCTCATCATTTGGAGTTAGGGCTTACATCACGCAAGGGCTGGCAGAACACCTGGATTACTGGTGAAAAGCAGGAACTGGTGACCCAAGTCTTCCACAGATTGGGAAACCAAATACCTTCAGAGAGGACGTCTCCATTTATCTCTAGAAATATTTGGTTTGGTCGTATGCATTTGGTCATTTGCAGTCCCTTGTAAAAACTGCTTGCTATTCCCCCCCTAATGACCCTGCAGCATAATTACAGTCATGCACGTTGTTAAGTATAGGAATAAACTCTGCGTATGCTTCCTCCTTCCTAGTCTGTTGCTCATATGGCATGCCATTTGTTCACAGATTACATAAAAATAGAGGGAACAATTGGTCTGGAGTCAACTACGGGATCGTTGTCGTGATTTGGGTGTGAAGCGATGACAAGGCCAGAACAGAGGGCTGGCCGTCGAAACAGAGTGGAAGGATGGAACCATGAGACGGATGAAAAGAAAGATGGGCAGGAATTGGTGACTGGCTAGAGAGGGATATTCAGAAAGGGGAATGGAGTCAGGGAGTCCCCATGGCTGTGAGGCTGAAGGATGGGGCCCATGCTGCCCTTGACAAGAGGCGGGGACCTTTCGAGGGGCAATAGTTTTAGGAGGGAAGCTGATAAATTTGGTGTAGGCCATGTCCATTTTGACCTTCTAATGTTAATTTCCATCTCAAAGCAAGCTGTCTTATTTTCCTTTTAAAAGCACTCTTGTTTTGCAGGGAGCACTTAGTGGTCTGCTGGCTGGGTTTGCCATTTCTTTCTGGGTTGGAATTGGAGCTCAGCTTTACCCTCCACTTCCTGAGAGAAGTATGCCCCTAAGCCTTGAAACCTATGGCTGTAACGGCACACACAATGAGACATATTGGACGTCAACCACAGAAATGCCATTTTCTACCAGTCCTTTTCAAGTACACAGTGCTGAAAGGTATCGAATTAAGCCTTATAATGTCATATTTTTAAAACATATATGTGACAGATAGAGAACCCTAGTTAATTTCTGTCTTACTGCAGCTCTGTGATTTTGCCTAATTCTGAAATGAGTAGAGTCCATGTGGCTTTCTGGCTGTAATATTTTGTTTAGAAATAGCAAAAAAAAAAAAAGGCATATTTTCTTAACTTTAATAGAAACTTCTGCCTCACCTACAGCTCCAGAGAAGACTTGAATAGTGACAAGAACAACAAAATTCCTTTATGGGTAAATGCTACCAAATACCAGTTCTAGTTGAAGGAAATTTGTCTTTGTCAACTCGAAAACTCTTAAAATGAAAAGCTCACTTATAAAAGAAACCTTGCTTATATAGTCTTTGAAGTATATAGCCTTTACTGACTAAAGGCTACAATTATCTAAATATGTTGGAAATTGCTATTTGTTTAGTTTTCAAGATTCCAAATCTTTAGAGAACAAGCAATGAGTTGCACTTGTGATTTTCCTGCTAGAGTTTTCAGTATATAGTACCCTTTTGAGCTTCTCGATACTGATGTCTGATTTCATGAAGTGATATAGACCTGTTGGTAGATGAGTGTTTTATTCTATAGTGGATGTAAGGGCAAGGGTTTCTTTAGTGGGTATAAAGTTGACCCTTGAACAACTTTAGTTTGAACTGCATGGGTCCTTTTATATGTGGATTTTTTTTCAATGAATATGTACAGTACTTTAAGTGTATTTTCTTTTCCTTTGATTTTCTTCATAACAGTTTCTTTTCTCTAGCTTACTTTATTCTAAGAATACAGTATATAACATACATAGAACATACAAAATATGTGTTCATCGATTGTTTATGTTATTGGTAAGGCTTCTGGTAGGCTATTAGTAGTTAAGTCAAAAAAGTTATATGCAGATTTTCTCCTGTGTGGGGGGTGGACTTGATGCCTCAACCTCCATGTTGTTTGAGAGTCAATTGTATAAATGTCCGGCCTCAAGCATCAATGCCATGGTTATGTCCAAGGAATGCAAAGTATTGCCCTGGTTCCAGCTTGCCTAGAATGAAACCATTAGAGAATCATTCCCTTTGGGTCAAGACATAGTGTATAATACCTCCCTCTTAAAATGGATACACTCCTGAGAGAAGGAATGTGACCATTATTATTAGTGATTCATGTCCTGGAGGGATTTCAGCTATGAGAATGCTTGCTGGTGGGAGCTCCAGGCTGGTAAGCTGTATGGGTAGAGAGAAAAGCTGTTCCAGAGCGTGGAGCATGTTGGGGGGAGGTTTGACTAGGTGGGCTGCTATGGCGAGAGGGGGAAGGAAATGCAGGGAGCAGTCTGGACAAGCATGAAAGCACTAATGGGGGTGTCGGGAAGTCATTAGGGAGAGTCAGAAGGGGAGAAAAGATTAATGGAAGAGCTGTTGGGAGGACTTTCAGGATGGACTTCTTGTTTCATAGTTTTGCTTAGTATTTGTCCTGATGATGTTAATATCTCTTTTAATTTAAGAATCTAAGACAAAATAGTTGTTTGGATTCCTGAAACCAATAGATTAGCTGAGGTTTACTGTGTGCCTGCTACCATAATAATCACTTTTATATGTGAGCTTATTTATAAAATAGCTAATAAACAAGAACTTTTGAGCATGAACTATGTACTCAGTCCTGGACTGGCCGTTTATACAACATTAATAGAACCACCCTCCTATTCTCTGTGGTTCCTGCCTTATAGGAAATTATAATTTAGCTGGAGAAAATGTGCTAATATACACAAAACAATTAGCTCAATAAACACGATAAGTATAATAACTAGTACATGGTAAATAGCTAATAAATACTTGATAAGCAGCTATTAAAAGAATGTATATAAACAAAGTTGGAGTGTAAAGTTAGCATGAGAGATGTAATACTACTTGAAGAATGCAGAGGTTGGCTAGAGAGAGGAGGTATGGAAAGTCATTCTTGTCACAGAAATGACCAGAAGGAAAGTTGGACGAGAAAATAAACAATTTTTTTGTGGTAAGTGGTATTCATAAGCTATCCTGAGAGCCAGGAGGAGGAAGAACCTAACTCTTCCTGGGTGGAGTCAGGGAAGCCTTTTTTAGAGGAGTATTACATGAGAGGAATTAATCAGGTGATCAAGGTTGGGCAGAGGGACAAAAGGAAGAAGGTGTGTAGATTGCAAAATGGAGAAGCAACATAGGCAAAGGCACGAAGACCGGAAGCCACACGGCATCTCAGGAAACCATACGTAATTCAATATCATAGTTCAGTATGGCTAGAGTACAAGAGGAGTGAATGACACAGCTAAAGATGAAGTAAGATACCCTTTGGTTTCCTAGCTTCTGGGTTTCAATTACCCAGATTCAGTTTTTATTTTTTAAGTTCCCAGTATTTGCTCACTGTGCTTTGGTCAGCTGGTGGTCACCTCTCTCTAGGAATGTTTGGTAAGAACTTATTGTTATTCAGCTCTCAGGTAAATGTCACTTCTTCACACAGGCTTTTCCTGACCACACATTAGAGTGTAGTTCCTTCTTTCCACCGTGTTAATGCCACGTTACCTTGCTTCGTTTTCCACATAGCACTTTCCATCAGTGGAAATTATTATATTTACTGATTAGTTTACTTGTTTATTGTATTTCTCTCCCCATTAGAATGTAAGCTTGATGAGGGCAGGAGTCTTATCTATCTTGTTCTTGGTAGACTTTCCAGTGACAAGAACAGTGCCTGGGACATAAAGCAGAGTTGAAAGAACACACATGGACATTTAGTCTTATAGTATATGGTCAAGGTTACATTTCATTCCTGATCCAATAAGATAAAATTGGGATAGCAGATTATGCCATTAAAAACATTATTCAGTATTGTATTTCGACTTTGCCGTGAGGATTATTGACACACGTTCTTAGTTGCTGGTAGCATTACATGGAATCTTACAGTTCTGCTTCTGCTCTCTCTTAGAACTCCACTGATGGATAACTGGTATTCTATTTCATATCTATACTTCAGCACTATTGGAACCTTGGTAACAGTATTCGTGGGAATGCTTATCAGTCTACCAACAGGTAACTATCTAAACATTACTATTGCTGTATTTACCACTATGAGGTCTGACAATTAAGTTTGCAAACTTGTTACAACGATGTCGCTAACCTTTTTTGATATCAGAGGGATTATTCATGATGAATTTGTACCAACTGGACAAACAGTCAACCAAGTTTACCATTAGGAAGTGCTGAAAAGACTGTGTGAAAAAGTTAGACGACCTGAGCTTTTCACCAACAATTTATGTCTCTTGCATCATGACAATGCACCAGCTCACACGGCACTGTCTGTGAGGGAGTTTTTAGCCAGTAAACAAATAGCTGTATTGGAACACCCTCCCCAATCACCCGATCTGGCCCCCAATGATGCCTTTCTTTACCTGAAGATAAAGGAAATATTGAAAGGAAGACATTTTGATGACATTCAAAGGTAATATGATGGCCATTTCAGAAAAAGAGTTCCAAAATTGCCTTGAAGCATCGACTAGGCACTGGCGTTGGTGCATAGCTTCCCTAGGGGAGTACTTCAAAGGTGACCGTAGTGATATTCAGCAGTGAGGTATGCAACACTTTTCCTATGATGAGTTCACGAACTTAATTATCCGACCTCGTATATCAGTTTTTGCTAGATCTGTTTTATAGATATTTATGTTATTTTACTATAGTCCTGTTAATGACTAGTTTAATTATTTGTTTCATTTTACTTATGGTGAATTTGAGGGACTATACTTGAAAGCAGAAGACTTATCTATTTGAATCTTTGTTCAGCCATTTACTAGTTGCTTCAACTTGGAGAGGTCTACGTATCAACTCTGAGCCTTAACTATCTTTTGTGTGAAATGAGAATGATAATAATTGATCTGCCTATTCCACAAGTCGCTTTAAGATAAAAATGAAATGCTTGAAAAAATTGTATATAGCTCCTGCAATGCTAGAGATTTTACACTTATTTTTACCACAACCCTGTGTCATGAGCTTTTCATTGTCCCATACTAACCTTTATAAACTATAAAGAAGTGTATACGTGTAAAGAATAATAATTATAATCTTTATATCTAAACATAATGTGAAGCCTATTTGCAGATGTTCTTAAGCTTTTAAAAAAATAATTTTAAAAACCAAACTGAAGGTGGCAGGATGGTTCAGTCGTTAGAGCGTGCGCTCTTAACAACAAGGTTGCCGGTTTGACTCCTGCATGGGATGATAGGCTGCACAACCCTGCAACTAAGATTGAACACGGCACCTTGAGCTGAGCGGCCGCAAGCTGCTGATGGGCAGCCGGATGGCGACTGGACTTGGAGCTGAGCTAGCTGTGCCCTCCACAACTAAGATTGAAGGACAACAACTTGGCTGTTCCCTTTCCCCAATTCCCCAATGAAATCTAAAAAAAACCAAAAAACCAAACCGATAACACATAGCATACAGTGCTCTGTTGGATTGCTATAGAACTGTTATCCTGGGAGTTTATTTTGTCCTCATTTCTTTAATTCCCTTGGTCTACCTTCTATGTTAGATTCCTTACTACCCATATCATTACTCCTAATTCTTGTTTACTCCCTTAATTGAATGGATCACATCCTATAGCACTTTGTCGAGAAAGGATGAACAAGATGTTTTGGAAATGATGCATGTCTGAAAAAAATGTCTTTAATTCTCCCTTATACTTGATTGATAGTTTGAGTAGAGAATCCTAGGTTGAAAATAACTTCCTCGTTTCTTAGAGGATGCCTCATTTTCTTCTAGCTTACTATGTTGCTGTTGAGAGTTTTAATGCCATGCTCTCTGCTGACCTTTGCATGTGTCCCATTTCACAGTGGGTGCCTTGTCCTAGGCCCTCAGTGGGGTCCTTTGAATCTGAAGGCCCATGTCCTTCAGTTCGAGGGCACTTTCCTGCATTATTTCTTTTGTGATTTCCTGCCATTTTCTAGTTTTCTCTTTCTGGCAACTCCTGAGCCAAACGTTTGAGTTTTAGACAGCTCTTCTAATTTTCTTATCTTTTTTCTCTAATTTTCTATCTCTGTGTCTTTTAGGTTTACTACATGGGATACTTTTTCAATTTCTTTTCCAATAATTCTCAAAGGAGCACTCTGAGCCAGCCTTGAGAATAGTCTGTGAGGGAAGGAGGCAGGTGGGAGGCTATTGCAGGAATCCAGGTGAGCGACCCCAGTGGCTCAGACCAGGGCAGTGGTGCGGAGTGGGTGAAAAGTGCTGGGCTCTCTCCTTTCATACATTCCCTCACACGCGGACATCCATAGCAACCAAACCAGAGAAGACAGCGCCACTGTCCTCTTTATCAAATGTGTAATAACTAGTTAGGAGTCTTACACTTTGTCCAAGTATGTATGATGTCTTTGCTTTAGGCTACAAAGTGACTAGCACCGTGACACTTTAAGGAATTCTACTGTCAATCATTGTGTTTTGGCACCTGGGGAGCACTGTCTTTCAATCTTCTGACACTTATACTTATAATTAATAAATTATATTAATTACTGGTGACAATAGAGTTATACCCATAATTATATTAATTATATTTATTATACATTTATAATAAAGTCTGTGGCTATTTGTTACCTCTCAAACAGTTGTTTTATACTATTTTTTTTTCAAAAAGGATAGTGCTTTTTCTCATAAATAAAATTACCAGCACAGTAGGTTTATTCTCTTATCTAGTTTGATATATGTTAACAATTGTAACCCAGTTGTTCAGATCTAGAATACACCTAAGCAATCTTCTTGTACTATTTGACCTTTGGTCCTTATTCACCTATTTTTTTTTTCTTTAAGAATGGGCTATTAGAGTACTCTTTTTTTCCCCCTTAAATGCTTTGATTCTGATAACCATATACAACCATATATTTTGTTTTAAAAATAATGCTTTCTTCAAGTGAGCAGGCATGCAGTGACAATAAAACACTTCAACTTCATGAATTTCATAAATGACTTATTCTCACTCCACAGCACCAGTGAGCATGTTGGAAAAAAATCTGGAAACATAAAATCCTGATGTTCCTCGGGAAATATATTTTAAAATCTACTGTAGGGTACTAGGATTCTATAAGAATTCAGGCCAGACAGACTTGGTGGGCATTTTTTAGCTTTACCTAACCATGTACTGTGTGCACCATGAGTGTATCTCTTCATCAGAAAAGTGGGGTAAATAATTCCCTAAGTAGACTGTGAGCTATGAGTGCAGCAACTGTTTTATTCACCTCTGCCTCTCTAGCGCCTAGTAGAGCCTCTAGCACATGGTGGGCACTCAACAATGTTGAGTCAATTAATTTAAAGTTGATCCCATCTCCAGACAACAGAGCTTCCCATAATTAAAAGTCTAGCATTTTTACTAAACTTGTGGTTCTCAAACATTAGAGGGCATAATAATCACTTCGGAAATTTGGTAAAATTCAGGATTCAGTGGCCCCACCCCAGAGGTTCTAATTGGTTGGTCCAGGTTGGAGTCCAGAGATCTGCATTTTAAATACATCTCCTAGGTAATTTGGGTGGAGGTAGTTTGAAAACCACATGGGGTTTTTTTTTGTTTTTGTTTTTTCAAGCTGAGCCATCCTGCTACCTGTTGGCAGCTCAGCGGCTGCTCAGCTTGGGCTGGGAATCGAACCACTATTGCTCAGAGCTCAAACTCTTGAAGGAGCTCTTAACCAACTGAGACACTTGGCCAGCCCTGAAAACCACATGGTTTTGAAAGCATCCTCTTTGATCCACAAATAAAATGCCAAACCAAAGAATAATTTTTGTAAAGGAAAATGTCAGGGAAGAGGAATTGGATCAAACACCAATTATCATATTGATTTTCATTTAAATAGTTTATTCAACAATTCATAATTTCCTGCATTTCTTCACACACATCTACATTCATAGCCACCAAATTGGGGAAAGGCAGCCCTTACCCTTTGAAACAGGCAGATGGTTTGATGTTTTATTGGTAGATCATGAAGGATGCTTTTAAACCAGTTTTCCTACCAGCATTGGGCCAAAGGACTCTAGTTGAGTACCAAATGACTCTCATTGGCTTGCATTTATCTTGAAACACTGAACTCATATTTATCACAGTGAGAACCTTGCAGAATATGAGACCAACCGAAGGAAGGGAAATGGTGGGCTAAGTCTCCAGCACTATTTAGAAGATTTGCATTCTCTTTGAGTTTTATGAGCACATAGAGTTGAATGTATACAAGTTAAATGCCTGTATGATGGACTATCACTGGGTAATTCTAGTTATCTTTTTAACAATGTGCATAATATATATGTTTTTCAGGTGGGAGAAAACAAAACTTAGACCGCAGATTTCTATTAACCAAAGAGGACATTTTATCCAGCTTTGACTTTTTTAAGAAAGTAAGTTGGCTTTCTTTTCCCTCAAATTAGTAAGACTGCTTTTATCACCTGGATAGATTACTAGTTGTTCTTCAGACTTTTGAACTCTGATGGACAAGGAAGGTATTTTCCCTATTTAATGATCTGTTTTTGTTGTATATCTCTCCCTCAGTAGACTACAAAGCTGATTTAGCGAAAGTAAAGAAGTGGTAACAATTATTTAGAATTGAATGAATGAATCATTTTTTTTGGTAATCACCATGTTAACATTTTCTTTTAGAAGAAGCATGGTTTAAGCTATAAATCTCATCCGATAGAAGATGGTGGAACTGATAATCCTGCTTTCAACCACATTGAATTGAACTTCGCAGATCAAAGTGGCAAGATCAATGGGACTCGTTTTTGAAGCAGCCATGATGCTAGATGATCTTACACAGTGTCCCGGTTTTATATGTTTTCTAAGATAATTGGATCAGGTTTAAATTTTTTTTATTTTTTTTTGCCTATCATGAGTGTTTTTGGGGGGAATTTGGGGGGATACATTTTTGTTAAAGCCCTGTCTTTCAAATTCCTGGCTTTCTTCACTTAACTACACTCATTAATCAATGCTACTCTGGAATTAAGCATTTCAACATCAGCATTCCCCATAAAGCTGTAGTTGTGAAAGCTATGAAAGTTATGACTACCTATGTGCTGAAAAGCTAATATACACATACTTGATGGTCAAAAGCATATTCTTAAATTCAGGCATTATTAAAAATATTTTCCATGCATGTGGTGCTAGCATGTAGTTTGGGGGTTTGCCAAAATCATAATTAATATTGAAAAGAGCTTTTCTCACTCCTACTACATACTCTATTCTTAGGGAACAATGAGGTGACAGGTCTGTTTTCTCATGGACCCCTATCAGCCCAGGGCACATATTAGCCTTGGAACCAATTCTGGCTCAGGAAGGTGGGAATCAGGAAGCATCCTGTTTGGGACAGAGCATGGGCCCAATGACCAAGGTCTTCTTGGTTCTCTGTGGCTATTCTTGTGCCTTTTTGCTCGTTATCTAGAGTTCCTGGCCATTGGCTGCTTGTATGGCCTTTCTCAGACTCTGGTGAACATCTGCATTTCTTGTTCTGACCCATCAACTTTGATTTTCTTGTGCACTTTACCTTTGCTAGCTTTCTAATTTCCTATTTATTGTCTTGGGCTTGCATATGTCTTAAGACACCCCATTTGAATCATGCTAACCAATATCCTGGTTCACTAAGCCCCAGCCTATAAATTATAAACACCCATGAGTCTGATACTGACTAAATTAGTTTCAACATAGGTACTCATGGATTTGGTGATCCAAGAATGCTTACATGATTAAAAATGGTTAAGCTCCATGGAGTTAGATGATGACATTGAATGCTATTAAGATTAATTTTTGAATGTCAACTACTTTGCAATCAACTAAATTTCATGGTATATATGCTTAGAAATCTTGAATTCTACTATATTCATCTAGTGAAAGATCTAAATTACATAGGCTAACACTATAATTTTTCTTTACTATTCTGGAATCATTAAATATATGCTTTGTTCCATGTTTTAAAATTTCAAGTAGCAGTCTCAAAGTTTATTTTGTTTATTTTGCTATGTTTCTAGCTAAGAGTTTGGTAAGGCTTTTAATAATAACTCTTTTTCCTACAGTGCCCACATTAGATATTGTTTAGAGGTATTTTTTTTAACTTTATAATGTTTTAAAATAGTAATTTCAGAAAATTTAGGTACATTAAAATATTTTATTTTTTATTTTGCTTATTTTCTGATATTTAGGTAAGCAGGCTCTATATATTTAGAGGTTGCCAATTGAAAATATTAATAAAAAAGATAGGAAGTAGCATTTATCTAAAGCAAAGAGATTTATATAACATTTAAATTAACAATGTATTCAGATATTTCATGTGTGTATAGATGTTATTTTTTAATTAGTATATTTGTAAGCATACATCAAACTTTGTAAATCTTTCTATAATTTTTTAATAAATAGGAAAATACAGTCTTTTATTTTATGTGATTTGAACTATTGTTATTTATTTAATAATTCTAAATGCACAAATGTGTAGAATTCTTCAATTTTGGAAATCAAAATCAGGTTGTTTAAATAATTTTTTTCTCTTATCTTACTGCCAGGGGGTTTGCAATGTATTCTTAAGGAGAGATATTGTACTTTCATTCTTGTCCATTTTCTTTTAACAAAGTATACCTTTGTGATAGTAGAAACTATTTATATTTTACTTTAATACAAGTGCCACATAGAATTCTTAAGAAATCAAAGTGATGTTATTAATTCTTAAAAATTATTTATCTTATCTAAATCTTTGGATAAAATCAAATAGGGGTAACATATTAATATATTATAATGTAAATTAAATAATCTGATGCTCTTAATTATTTTTAATCACAACAACTCTAACAGAAGGGAAAAGCCATGCAAGTTGTTCTATTTTTATTTTGCCACTGACAAATTGTATGACCTTGATTTTATCCTTAATCTCCTCTAATGATGAAACATAACACTAAACACTTACCTACCTCACAGAAATAGTGTGAGTATAGAAGGTCAGATAGCACTTTATTAACTCAAATAGTGTTACTTAAAATTTCAACATGATTGTGAATCAAAATTCAAGACAAAAGTCATTTGCTAGCTTAAAAAAAAAGATGAGCTGTTAATAATTTGCAATTATTTGTAATTATGTGGAGATAGTTCCTTCTCTAAAAAAGTGCCATTAAAATATATTTAGGAATCAACAGGATTATTCTAACAAAGAGAATGTAAACTTTAAAGAAAGCTATAGAACAATCATATTCCCT